CTATCCTGTGTAATTTATTTATTAACAGCTTTAAAAAAAATTATATCTATTGTAGACAATATATTTAAATTTGGAATGGCTGTATTATTTTAATCTATTGTATACAGTAGTACTGTATCTCTAAGTATAAAATTGTTTTTATGCATGTAAAAGTCAGAAAACATGAATTCAAAAATTTACCAGACTTACTATATATGAGTCGATTGAAGGCAAACCAAATTCAAAAATGAACATTACTACTGCAATATCGATATAAATAAGACCGAGAAATAGACATTTAGATGCTAAGAACAAAGAGATTCAAAAAAGTTAGGATGTCTGAAGAATCAACGTATAGTCTTCTGCTAAGGCACAATCATAAAGTCGAATAATTGAAACTTAAATAAGGTCAGTGATGAAAAATTTGAAACATGCGATGTAATAAATGTGTAACATAGATAATCATTATAATACAGAATACAAAAAATTTCAATCTGTGACTTTAAAATTTTTAGCTTATGGCAACAAGTGAAGCAACCGATGAAAGTTCAAGGAAAAGGCATAGGCTTTTTTCAGGAAATTGCGATGAATTTAGTTCGGAAATTGAAGACAATCAAGTAACAACAACAGATATTACTACAGTGACAGATACTAGTTCACAAACCTCGATAGTTACACATCCATCAAGTTCAAAAAATATACCACGGAGTAGACATCAACCTCGTCCATTCTCTGAAGTATGGGATTACTTCAACAAAGGAATTGAAAAAAACAATGGACACTATGAGGCTACTTGTAGTTATTGCGGGAAAAAATGGGCACGAGGAAAATCTACACAACTGGAAGCACATTTATCAAATGACTGCGTTAGTTGTCCAGATGATATATCTCTTTATTGGAGAGAAAAGGTTGCAGAAAGAGATCCAAATTATGCTCGAAAACCCAAAAAAAACTGTGTTCTACCAAATTCTATATCACAAACAACAATGAATTCTCATTATGCATCAGACCGTCCACTGTTTAAAGCTATAACTAACCGGCTTGATCGAAAAATAATCAAAGCTTGGATAATGGCTGGAATTCCTTTTGATGTCATTGACAATTCATTTATTCGAGATATGCTTACAGAGCTTAATCCTGCATATAGCCTGCCTTCAAGAACAACTTTATCAAACCGATTGTTTGATGAAGAATTAGCACGGATAAACAAAGCAGTTGATGATGAATTAGAGAAAGCAGACCATTTGACTTTAGGTTAGTATTATTAAATATTATTTGTGCTTTAGATAAAATTTCACATTCTCTAAAATAATCAATTAGATTTAATAGTTTTCAATTACTAAGCTTTAAATTTATTAAATTTTATAAAGCTTTAGATGGTTGGACATCGCCATCGAAGGATTCAATTTACAATTACATTGTCACAACAGATACTCGAAAAGAATATCTGGTCAGATTGAAAAACTATTCAAATCAATCTCACACTGGAGAATTTCTGGCAAACGAAATATCAGAAGTTATTGAAGAACTTGGTTCAAACAAATTCGCGGCTGTTGTAACAGATGCAGCATCAAACTGTAATGTTGCACGTAAAATGACACAACAAATGTATCCACATATCTGGAATGTTAGATGTGCCGTGCATGCCATCAACCTTATTGCAGCTGATTTAGTTGAATTAGAGAGCATAAAAAAATTAATCAGTGATTGTGGAAAAATCAACCGTTTTTTTAAAAATTCACATGCAAGTCAATCACTACTTACAAAAGGGCTTACAGATATGAAAATTAAGGGCGGTGGGCTAAAAACATGGGTAAAAACCCGATGAGGATCTTTATACTTAACCACTGATTCGATGCTTCGTGCACGTCCCGTATTTGATTGGGTAAATAATAGTTTAATAGAATATTATTAATTATAAATTATTTGCTAATAAACTTTTATTATTAGATACTTTCTGATCATGGTGAATCAATTACTAATAAAGAAGTTAGTGATTTAATATCTAATGAAAGTTTTTTTACTACATGTCGTTTTGTACGCTCGGTGTGGCAACCTATTAAAGAAATTATTCATATGTTAGAGACTAATGATACAACATTAGCTGACTGCTTCGTTTATCTGATTAATTAGCCATAGCAATTAATAACTTATCTGATATGAATAGCTTTAAAATTCCAGCCGTTCATATTTTTAATCAGCGTTATGAAGAATTTTTACATCCACTTTATATTTTAGCCTATTATATTCATCCAGACTACAGAGGTAAAATTTTAGGATAATCTATAGATTAGTTTAAAGCGTATTATGGTATTTAATTGATTAATTTCTAGGAAAACATTTAAATGATAATGGATTTCATACGGCAGCACTTACTGCTATTGAGCTTTGGCAAAATCTTGGTCATACCCGATCCGAAGGTGAAGAATTAGTTGCACAATTGCGACATTTTGAGGCACGATGGCCACCATATAATCTTTCTTATATTGCTGGTATGGATACTCCAAAACTTTGGTGGAGTTCTTTCAAAAATCAACCTTGGCATTTAGCTGAATTAGTGCATAGGATATTTTCAATTAATCCTACACAAGCAACATGTGAAAGAAACTTTTCAACATTAAAATGAATTTTGGGAGACCGACGAATGGACCTGAGTTTAAATAGATTGGAAGGAATGGCTAAAATTAGACAATATTATATAACTAATATTCGACGCGAGTTAAGTTTTTTTGAAAAAGAGTTAATAGAAAAAGATCTTCAAGATGCATGTAATATTGCATCAGTTGCTAATATAATGGATTGTGAAAAAGAGAACCAAATGAGATTTAATGAGACGAATTTATTAGATGATATAACATCTAATAATTCTACAACCCTGCTAATT